GGTGTTTGGTTGAGCCGGCGTACCATCGATATGGTTCTCCTTAGATGGAAGTAGTCACGAGCAGAGAAACATCTCTGAGAATGAACTTAAGTATTTTTCGTACAATTTTAAGAACTCGTGTACGGTAGGTAGATTGTATTTGCTACCTAAGATTCATAAAAGGTTACGTAATGTGGCAGGACGTCCTGTCATATCGAATTGTGGGACTCCTACACTACAGAAAAGGCTTCTGAGTTTTTAGACCACTATCTCAAGCCTATTATCTCAAGCTGGGAAGTCTTACATTCGGAGTTTTTAGACCACTATCTCAAGCCTATTATCTCAAGCTGGGAAGTCTTACATTCGAGATACAGGGCATTGTGGTAATGGCTATTGATGAGAATATACCCTTTGATGTTGAGACTGATGCTTCAGATGATGCTTCAGATGTGAGCAGCGACGCTCAATCAAAATGGTAGACCTGTAGCTTTCTTCTCAAGGACCCTTCAAGGAAGTGAGATGAAACATGCTGCCGTCGAAAAAGAAGCTCAAGCTATAATCGAGGCAGTACGACGTTGGAGACATTTTTTGACAGGAAGACATTTTATCCTCAAGACTGACCAGACGTCTGTCTCCTATATGTTCGATGTTCGCCACAAAGGGAAAATTAAAAATGATAAGATGACGGGATGCGTTGGAAACTCGAGATCGCATGTTACAGTTTTGATATCGTATATCGACCTGGAAAGTCCAATATTCCACCTGACACTTTATCTCGTGCTACCTGTTCTGTGGCGTCTGAATCCCTTTTTGACCTTCACTTTGCCATCCTGGTGTCACAAGGCTGAATCATTTTGTCCGTTCGAAGAACCTTCCTTATTCGTTGGATGAGATTAGGAAAGTTACGAGTTCCTGTAAGATATGTAGTGAATGCAACCACGAAACCTTTTGAGAGATTGAATGTTCATTTCAAGGGGCCATTACCAAGTAACGACAAGAATCGTTACTTCTTTCATGTTATCGATGAGTTTTCACGATTCCCATTCGAACCAGGACCAATTCTTATGAGGCGTCAAGTTCGATCAAGTAGAATTGACCCCTGGTTGATAAAGTTAAGCTGCTCCAAGCTACTCCCCATTATGCTCATGTCCATTACCAAGATGGTCGAGAGACAACGGTATCAACAAAGTACCTTGCACCACAGGGTCAAGGGCAAACCTGCCAGCAATCAGGACCGTCACAGAGTGATTTTAACTCGGTATCTGTCCCCATTAGTGCGCCGAGTGAGGGATCTAATAATTTAGTTCCAGTCCTTCAACCGCCGGAGCTACCTTCTTCCGATACTATCGATAGAATGCAATGCAGCTCCCTCGACGGTCAACGCGTATACGTCGGCCCGTTGATAGACTTGATCTCTGAAGGACGGTTAGGACGATTAGGATTTGTAATTTAAATTGTAGCGATTTATTTAAGACGGTGATTAGAGTAACTTAATAGTATCTTGGTTAATATATTTACTTTTGAGGACGGGGAGAATGTTATGATTATTAATAAATGATTATGTATGGCTTGGGTTGGTGTGCTAGAGCCTTAGGTATAAAGGTCAGCGCTCTCTGCCCTAGAGAAAAATTTCGCCGCCATGTTTTGTAATAATAGTTAGACATTTTATGTTGAATAAAGCCTACTTTATATGGCTTGAACTTGGATTCTATTATAACTGGCATTTTCTGGATAAATTAAAAAAAAATAGGTAAACTTCTGGAAAATGCGTTGCTCGTTACGGCCGATGTTACGAGTCTCTATCCCAGTATCCCACACGATGATGGTCTGCGAGCACTCTATACCAAGCTAGAAGCACGTGAAGATAAAAAAATGTCATCAGAAAATCTTATTAATTTGGCCGAATTTGTCTTTAAAAATAATATTTTTGAGTTTAATTCGGATGTCTATCGTCAAACGTCCGGGACGGCTATGGGCACTAAATTTGCCCCGCCGTATGCATGTATCTTTATGGATATGATAGAGACGGAATTTTTGGAACAACAACAGATAAAACAATGGATGTGGCTACGGTATATTGATGATATATTTTTTATTTGGTTAGAAGGTGAGGACAAACTATTAAAGTTTATGAACAGTTTCAATGAATTCCATCCCAGCTTGAAATTTTCTTATGAGTACTCGCAGACCAAGGTAAATTTTCTTGATGTAACGGTGGAAATTGATGATGGTCAGTTCAGAACAAGTCTTTTTTGTAAGCCCACTGACTGCCATCAATATCTGCACTATGTGTCATCGCACCCTGCACACGTCAAAAGATCTATAGTATATAGTCAGGGCTTGCGACTCAAGAAAATTTGCTCACGTAAGGAAGATTTTGAGAAACATCTCGAGGAGCTATGTAGTTGGTTCAAAAACAGATCATACCCTACATGGCTTATTGAGAAGGAAACTAAGCGAGTTAAGGAATATAACATAGAACAAAGCAAGGTAGTTAATGAACAAAGATGTAAGACTGGAGTGCCTTTAACAATAACTTTTCATCCTTTGCTAAAGCACTTCGGTCTGGTAATTAAGAAAAATCTGCCATTTAGATGCAGAAGCTCGTAAAGTATTCACCCCAGAACCTTTTGCGGCATTTAGAACTGGCCGCAATTTAAGAAGCTATTTGGTTAAAGCTAAGGTAACACCATTAATAAGGGAAAAGGGATGTAAAAAATGTAAGAAACCTAGATGCTTGACGTGTCATAACATAAAGGAGACTTTTAGATGCACAGCTGGTGCAAAACAATATGTAGTGAACCATCATTTTAACTGTGACCCTAAGTGTGTGATTTATCTCCTTGCATGTAAAGTATGTAGTTAACAATATGTTGGTCAGACAACGGATAAATTCCGTTTGAGATGGAATAATTATAAAGCATTGTCAAAAGAAAGCGATTTGCAACCGGGACCACACACAAGAGTTTAGTTAATGATTGTGAGATAGTTATCATTGATAAAACTAATCCGGCAGAACCAACAATTAGGGAAAAGTATTGGATCAACAGACTTAAGACAATGTACCCCTCTGGGTTGAATATTGAAAAGGATAACTATGTAGGCTAATTTTAAATAGAGAATAATACATGGACGCGGGGAAATATGGAATTTATTTCGAGTGTTGAGAATGATATCTTTCTCAACACGAGAAATAAATTCCATATTTTCAAGCATCCATGTATTATTCTGTTTATTATATAATAAAAACTTGAAAAGTTTTATCCCCCTTCTTGATTCCACGTCGGTGCATCAAGCACGATAATCGCACATGTGTTATTAGCTATCATGAATAATCGCACATGTGTTATTATCGCTTTTCAAAATGGCGGATTCGTCAATAAAACACACAGTATGTGTGTAATACGCAATATTTGCGTAATACTGATTTGCGTTTCATGAAAATATTCCTGTACAAGTTCCCTGATTTACTTATAGTTCCTCAAAATGTTTTCTTGCCAGAAAAGTGTACGTGTAACCTATAGCACTAAGTATCGAGTTGTCGTGCATTTCCTTTGACTCGGCGTATCAGCGCCGTGCAGACTTCGACAAAATCTAAACTCATGGCAAAACAAAACACATCAGTTGTAGCCCTCCAAAGCAAACATAGGCATACAGGCATAGGCTCATGTTGTAATCTTATGACGGCGACATTCTTGGAGAAATATATTGAAATGTTTAAATCGCGCCGCAATACATTACTGAATATGAATTTATAATTATTTGATTGGAAATTCCTGTTATTCTTTGCGTATATATATAGGATATTACACGGTTGCGAGTAAATATGGATTTTATGTTCGAGTGGCAAAAAAATATCTGTTTTTGACAAGAGAACATAAAATACATATTTTCGAGCGAACCGTGTAAAGGGCCGATTCCACGTGCGCTTTTTCTTCGCGAAATGCGAAATATTTCGCCTGTTTCTTTTGAATTGCATGTGGTCGACCACTTGAATATATTAATTCTGCTTGATTGCTCACAATTCAAAAGGAACAGGCGAAATATTTCACATTTCGCTTAAAAGTTTCGCCCATAGAAGCAGGGCTTAATGGTCTGTTTATTATATGGACTTTAAGCCCGTTCTCCACTAAGCGAATATATTCGCGCGAACAGATAAAAATTAGGAAGCGAAAAAATGCTATACAGTATACCTACACGTACAGCTTTTGATTGTATCCAGTCAAATTTTTCACGTGTGAAGAATATCGTACGGTTACGACGTAGCTACGATACTCTTCACACGTGAAAAATTCTCGTATGTCATTTTTGCGGCAATTTGTTTACATTTTTTTCAAGATGAGATGATGTCGAATTATCCAAAACATAATTCTAGAAATTAAAGACATTTTCACATTCAGCACATTATAAAATGTTTCAGAAAGAATATCATTTCAATTGAACAAAATATAAAGAAATTAGATGCAAATAATTAGATGCATAAAATTTCGATTTTTGTTGCTCGCTGTGTTTTTGTATATTAAAAGCGTGTCGTTGTCACATGGCAAAACGTTCACAATTCATACATAAAAATCGTACGCACTCGCCAACCACGAAGTAATTTATATATATACTGTATAACAACAAAGCAGTCAGTGGGCAGTTGTGTAAAAAGGTGGTTACATAACTTTTAACCACTCAGTTTTTGACAAATTTGTCCAATCGTTCGTCCAAGTTAAATGCTGAATAGGCCTAAATACGCAGATTATAAGCAATAGGTTATTACAAGCGACTGCTGCTTATCGACTTCTCAAATATCTGCATGCACAGCCCAATTTTAACATAATACTTAGACATACAGAGGAAGAGATGGGACTATATGAAAACGAAGTTGTTCAGGCCGATCAGCATACACGTTCTATTGTTTCAGGCAGTCAATGAACTGTATGTCCGGATGTGAAATCCAGAGAATGCTGTCTAATGCATATTTCTAAGACACATCGCATATTAAATTATTTTTATTTTTACTTTTTTCTGTTAAGGTTAGAATGGCTGAAGAGTGTCAAATTTGTCGACGGAAATGAGGAATGCAGTGAACGTCATTTGGAAATTGTTTGCAAACTTGGCAGAGTACCTCGTACCAAAGATATCTATGATATCTTTGGAAAAGATTCCCTTCCACTTATTACCTACAAGGAAGGTGAATGCTTACTATATAATACATACGCGCGCATGGTTGAACTGCCTGTTACAGGGTAAATTTTTGAAAAACAATAAGAGAATACCCAATGGACGACTTGCGCTTTAAACTAATTTCTTACCTCGCCCATAAAAAGGACATTTATTTAGTGAAATTAGTGTGAAATTAGTGAAACTGCCGCCAAGTTTGGCCGCGAGTTGTTATAAATTACGGAAAATTTAGCCATGCGAAGTTGTCGATTTTTGTATACTTTTGTATTACGGCCAGAAGTGTGTAACTAACTTAGTTACACATTTCGGCACGTAATACAAAAGTATACAAAATTTGCCAACTTCGAATGGCTATATTTTCCGTATTTTACAAAATTTCGCAGCCAAACTTTGCATTCGCACTAATTTAAGTAAGATCTTTTTAGCTGTGATGATTTATTTTCTTCTAGTTAATTCGATCAAAAATTAGTCTAAAGCGCAAGTCGTCCATTACAGAATATCCCAACCTTTTCGAATCGAAATTTTTGTATGAAATAGATTGTTTTTATAAGCTCGTTGACGAAGCACGGTAAAATGTATGAAAAAAGCCAGTATTCTTTAATTTCGCATATTTTAGAAATACCTAGAGAAAAAGATATCATTACTCTACAAAAACGTTTCAAAACGGCTACTTTATGTAACGCCGTTTTATATAGCTAGAAAGCAATTATATTGGCTTCTAAATACCTTCAGCAATTATAAATACCTTCGCTTGATCAGCAATTGAAAGACTATAGGATGAAGCACAATCATAAACCAAACAAAGGGGATGAACGACTAGATGTGCGAAAAATACCTTCGCTCGACCAGCAATTGAAAGATTACAGGATAAAGCATAATCATAACAATGGGCATAAACGACCAGATGGTGAAATAATTTCATCACTTGACCAGCAATTCAAAGATCAGCCAACAAGAAACCTGTCCCATAAGCTACCTATATAAATCATAAAAGGGTTAATAAACCCAAACCACCACCAAAAAACAACCCCCACCCCCATCGATCGGGAAAAATCGTCCGCCCTCCAATAAAACTGCACCGAAAACCTCCAGCAGCTGACTACAATACCTCAACTGATTCCTCTTCAACTATGGTCCCTTTTCGACTAGGCCCTTTTACACCAACTTATCCGCGGAGTCAAGAATGGTTACAATACCTTTGTTACGTAAATCGCGTTACAAAGACAGGAAATGCTCCTCTATGAGTCGAGGACATACTAGCTCTAATTGCATCCAAATATGTACTATTGAAGAATGTGAAGTTCCTTCACCTATCAACTCAGCTAATAATTCATCGACATATTTGTCGAATAATTTGAGCATTCCAAATTATATTGACACTTATCCATTTAAACATCCGGTCCCTAAAAAGTAGAAACCATTTCCTTCAACTTCGTGAACTTATCCGGGAAAAAAAGTACCACATAATTACGTTATCAGAAACATGGCTGAATACATCAGTTAAAAATACGGAAATTGAAATAGAAGGTTATAAAATACTCAGACTTGACTGACTTGGGGCGTTTGTGCGTATATCCGTACCCCGTTGAAGGCGCACATCTTAAAAGACTTGTCAAGTAGCTCCATAACCTGGTTTCAACAAATTTGGATGCAAGTTCAATATAAAAAGCTGAGGTCATTTGTATCACCTACAGACCGCCTGACTGTCCCACCTCTTTAACATTCAATAAGCCCATTACTATCCTAGGCGACCTAAACTGTGATCTTTTACAGGAAAACCATGATGGATTAGCATTGACAAATTTTGTTTCTGAATTAAATCTTAAACAAGTGATTGATACACCCACAAGAATTACTGGAACTAGTAGATCATTAATAGACGTCGTAATAACCACGACCCCGGAACTAGTACAGGAAAGTGGCGTTATCAACAGCTCTATAAGCGATCACTTCCCTGTGTACGTAGTCTTGAATTTAAAACTTCCTAAATAACCACCAAGCTACATTACCGTGCGTAGTTATAAAAACTATAACCCTACGTCATTTACAGCGGATCTTGCATCTAAGAATGAGCAGCTCATACAATCAGTTTTCTTTGAAAGAGAAGTGAATGCTAAACTATCAAAATTCAATGATGCTGTTTTGCCCACCCTGAAAATACATACGCGAATCAAAAGAATTAGAGTCCGTCATCGACCATATATTACTCAAAGAATTAAAGATTTGATGATTAATAGAGATAGACTGCATAGACAATTTCAACTTACACGTGATATTATAGATTGGAGAACTTATAAACATGCAAGACAATCAGTCCAAACTGCTCTAAAAAAAGCAGAAAAAGAATATGTTCGTGGCGAAGTTTTAGCTCATAAGAACAACGCCGCATCCTTATGGAAAATTATAAACCGGAGCATACCTACCAAAGAAAGATCAATTCAACGTTATAGTAAAGCCCCAGAACTGATTGCAAATGAATTTAACCAATTCTTTGTCGCTGTTGAAGAAAAAGCCGGAAACGCTACGGCTCAATTAGCCCTGGAGAATAATTTCGACGTATCAAACACAAGTCCTATTCCAATACCCACTGGCTATGCCTCGCATGAAACGTTTAAATTATCACCTGTGTCTTGTACCGAGGTCGAACGAATCATCATTCCTATGCCTTCTAATAAATCGTCCAGGCCCCGACAAAGTAAGCATGAGTGTTTTAAAAAATTGTCTTCCTGTCGTCCTTGGTCCTATTACCGACATCATCAATTGTTCTTTTGCCACATCAACGTTCCCAGACGACTGGAAACAAGCTGAAGTCATTCCTGTAATAAAGGAAGGGGACCACGAAGTCGCCTCGAACAATCGTCCTCTCTCCCTGCTAAATGCTGTTTCGAAGATCTGCGAGAGAGTTGTTCTTAATCAATTTAATTCTTATTTAATCCGTAATAAACGATTAAGTTCACAACAAAGTGGCAACAAAAAACAGCATTCTACCGAAACTTTAAATTTATCAACAACCGATCACTTGTTGGAGGCGATGGACAACAAGAAACTATCTGCACTCATTTTAATCGATCTCTCAAAAGCCTTTGATAGTATTAGTCATCAAATTCTGCTAAGAAAATTGAGCGACGTTGGTGCATCTCAGGAAACGGTTAAATGGTTCGAAAGTTACCTAACTGGACGTACTCAAGCTTGAGTTGGACCTTCGTTTTGTGGCTGAATGGTGTTGCAAAAACGCGCTATTAATTAATCCCGGAAAAACCAAGTTTTTCCTTGTTGGAACACGACAGTTGTTGAACTCATTGCCAGAAAATATGTCTTTGGATTTTTTAAATAAAGCAATTGAACCTGTCACCTTCGTAAATGATCTTGGAATGACCCTATAGACTGTAATTTGACTTATAATAAGCATATTAGTCATCTCACATCAGCTCGTATGGCAAAACTTTGCCAAATAAACGGTGTCAAACACTGCTTCGACCGAAACACGTTGATCTACATTATTTGCGCTGTGGTCATGGGCAAATTATATTATTGTTCTACAGTCTGGTCAAATACGAGCTCATCAAACATAAAGAAATTACAAGCCGTCCAGAATTTTGCGTGTAGAATCATAACTAACGGAAATAAATTTGATCATATCACACCAATTCTACGGGATATTGGTTGGCTTCCTGTCAAAGAGCACCTTCTCTACAGAGATATGGTAATGATGTATAAATGCATGAACGGCTTAGCTCCTCCATATCTGGCTGACCGATTTCATAAACGCAGGGAATTAAACGATCGTGTTACAAGAAACAATAATTCTCTACATATCCCCCTATATTCAACCACTGCAGGACGGAGGAGTTTTAGATATAGAGCTGTAAAGTTATGGAATAATTTAGATATAGAATTAAAAAACCTCCCGCTAACAGCATTTAAAAGAAAATTAAAGGCTAACATGTCAAATGAATACTTTGAAAGGTGAACAAAATCTTAAGACCTCATTTTATATAAACTTGTTATATAATTTAGCTTTCGTATCTTGTAAATAGTATTAAAGTAGTCATTTTATTGTAAATAGGTATTGAAAAACCCTACGGAGAATACTTATCTTTTATAATAATAATAATAATAATTTGTATTACATATCTAAAGGTTTTTTTTTTTAAAGACTCTCAGGAAGAGTGGTTTAAGACACATGTTCTTGACGAAAACTCAGACATGAAAACGGGATTCAAATGCAAACTAACAAGGTACACGGTTACTTTATCATTTGCTAAATATGTATATATATATATATATATATATATATATATTATATTATATTATATATATTATATATATATACACCCATTTGCAAAAACGTTGGCCGCAGATAGATAGATACATAGATACTCGAAATCTAATTAGAATTGCATATGTTGTGTAATATGATTGAAATCCCATGCAAATCTAGTCATATGCATTTCTAATTAGACTTCGAGTATCTATCTATCTATCTATCTGCGGCCAACGTTTTTGCAAATGGGTGTATATATATATATATATATATATATTATATATATATATATATATATTTATATATAATATATATATATATATATTATAACGTTTTTGCAAATGGGTATATATATAAATATATATTTATATATATATATATATATATATATATATATATATATATATATATATATATATATATATATATATATATATATATATACACCCATTTGCAAAAACGTTGGCCGCAGATAGATAGATAGATAGATACTCGAAGTCTAATTAGAATTGCATATGATTACATTTGCATGGGATTTCAATCATATAAAACAACATATGCAATTCTAATTAGATTTTGGGTATCTATCTATATAACTTATATATCTATCTGCGGCCAACGTTTTTGCAAACGGGTGTATATATATATATATTATATATATTATATATTATATATATATTATATATATATATATATATATATATATATACACCCATTTGCAAAAACGTTGGCCGCAGATAGATAGATAGATAGATACTCGAAGTCTAATTATAATTGCATATGAATACATTTGCATGGGATTTCAATCATATTACACAACATATGCAATTCTAATTAGATTTCGGGTATCTATCTATCTATCTATCTGCGCCCAACGTTTTTGCAAATGGGTGTATATATATATATATATTATATATATATATATATATATATATATATATATATATATATATACCTCTTGTTTCCTTATTATTATCAATATTGTTCATCTTAGCATGACATTTGAGAAATTTTGAAGATAGATTTTCAACGATTTCCCATAGAATTAACGTATGCAGTACAATCACGTGATCGATATTTACGTATTTATATATATTTCCAGGTGACAACCTTAATGATAACGACTGTATTTATATATATATATATAAATATATATATATATATATATAGTTGGTATATATTATATATACTAACTATATGCACCAACTACATTCGTATTACAAGTAGTGCTTGCCACACTCATCGAATTTAAAAGTCGCGCTATGTTGATGCCAATTATGTCTAATCTAGTTATCACTACTCAGAATTTCACGCTTGTCTCGATCTTCAGGCGATTAAATTCAGCTTCGTTGCATTGGTTTGCGTGACCAATGTTTAGCTGACGCACACTGTCAATGTTTGGGCATGCATGCGTTTGAAATTTCCAGCACAAAATTTATCGCGATGGCGGCATTTAGCAAAGTTAACGTTATCCACCGAATCGTGTTTTTTCAATCACTTTAAAATCGCCTGTTGTTGGATATAACTTTGATTTAACCTAAATTGAGGATCCTCTTCAATAATTGTTGGTTCCAAAGTCGAAATTTTATTGCTTTTCAAGCATTTATAGAACAGTTGAAAAAATCACTATCCGGTGGATAGTGCTATCCGGCTTTCATGGAATACTCATCAGCTTTTATTAGTTTTTCCTGGATGCAAAGAGTACAACGTCTTCCACTATAGGTTTGCGAGGTTAAGCATGTCGCAGCTACGTACTGTCGTACCATCTCTTTTCAATCTCCAAATGTACTTTGTTTATTAAACAACTTATTAATTAAGAACCTGCACGTGTAACAGCTATTATACAAGAATATTGATATAGATGTTGTGATAACTAAATACTGCGA